TATTAGATCCTATTGCACACACATTCCTAATATACTAGAAGGCGTGGAGTCTTTCTTAATGGATGATTCTCATATAAATTGTAAGAAGGCTCTGAATTTAAAAAAAAAATCTCTGGAATTGTCCACTTAATAAAGCACAGACTGTGTAGTGACACCTAATTCAAAATGAGATTTATTTAAGCTACAGTTACTGTCAAGTATTAAGAAATGTTTTCACGTGACTAGATATAGACTATCCTTGTGTGGAGTTAAAACTGAGTAGATTAAAAATATATTGTATATATAATGGAATGTGTTCATATGACTATAATGTAGATGATTCCTATCAATAATGAATTTTAAGGGCCTTATATCATGCTACCCAGAGGAAAGTATACTCACCTTCAGGCAAAATACGAGTTAGCATTCCATTTCTTGCAAAATTCTATTAAAAACTCAGCTGAATTATAGACAGCTGAATTCCACAGCTGGTGGGACTGTAGAAAAGCGCAAGAGAAGAAGCAAGTATAGCAACAAATCAAGAAACCAAAATGTTTATATATACACTTGTGCAAGTTGCCCTGACTTTTCATAATTTAAGTCTCTGACTATTAATGTATCAAAATGAGTTGAATCCTGATTCTGACTTGGCAAAACTGCAGTGGGCTCAAGAATTTGTGTTTGTTTCAAAACTGACCATTTGCAAGAGGTGAGGTTAAACTAAAACTAGTTGGTTGAAAGCATGGCCCTCTTTCAAAACTCTCATCTACTCAGGTACTTATTGGCCCCCATTGCAACACCTGAGGTAAATTTTAAGACACAGTAGGTGATGGAACTAACATTTGTCACTTGAAGGTATTCACTCATTTTCTCTGCAAGGGAAGGTCTTGTGAGGTTTTTCAAATTATTTGTGTCTGCTGTTTCAAAAGAAAAATAAAATGAGAATGGATGCCTTTTGTACTGATCAATGGGAAATCTTCCATAGAGCTACTAATGCTATTTTATCACATCCTAGGCAAAGCAAAGGTCTTTCATTAACATTGAATTGAGTGAGGTTTAAGATGGTTCTTGTATGTGCTAGCTTTTGTTCCATACCCAAAAATTCCCATCACATGCAAAGATGACCTTAAATCCTGCCATTGATAGCTCCATTTATTCAAAGAATAGTGTTTTCAACTATGGCATTCTTCATGGAGTTTGATCTTTCTCACATATGGGCTTAGGACTATTGAGCATCTTGAAGAGGAGGACAGATCTGAAATTCAACTTTTATATTCTATTCCATAGACTATTATATATTATGTTATCTCATAGATTCTAAGGGATGCCAGTGCAGAGAATAGAAGAGAGGAGATTTTATATTCTCAAGATGAACTATGTAGCTGAAATGTGTTACTGCGTTCTCTGTAAGTTGGATTTTCCTAAGGAATGATAGCTTCGTACCCAAATATTGCATTTTCAGTAGTTGTTCTAGGAACAGATAAAGAACGTCTGAAAATAAGTAACGAATTGCCTGGATGCATTACAATCATCTGGTCAATTAGAAAAGGTAGAAATTATTATTATTATACTCCTAGAAGGTCCAACGTAAAATGTTAGTGTCAGCAAGGAATTTAGGAACCCTTACAAACTGCAGGCAAAATTGAACAGTTACAAGAACATCTTCAGCCAAAGAAGACTGCACTGTGAGAACAAGCTGCTCAAAGCTTTTCTCTCTGTCAGCTGGCATGATCTCTGTCTTAGTTGAGTATAACTTCAGCCAGCTGTTCTTCATCTATGTGCTCATTTCATCTAAGCACAGGACTTGCTTGGGGAACAGATAAAATGTTGTATTTGATGAAAACTGATGAGTTGTTGAATAGAACTACAGGGAATGGACTCACAGGCAGGAATGACTCATTTTAATGCATTTTCCTTAACTTGGCAACTTATTTTGGTTGGTATCTCAATACCAGAAGTCACCGTTTGTTGCATGTTGCAAAGTCCAAAAAGCTGAGAATGATGGATGGAAAGCAGACATTCAACAACATGAGATCCAGTTGCAGAACCATTAATAATGTTTCCTTGTATGTCAGGCAGAATTGAGATTGTGCTGGGTCAAGCTTCTGTTTAATGAAAGAATATATGGCTTTGGTTGGATTCTCTGAGCTGACTTGAAATTGAAAGGCATACTTAGTGCTAACAAGGGGTCAGAGTGCATTGTGTCAATATTCGTATACGCTACCGTTCTAATCATTATCTTAAAAGAGATGCAACTGTTTCAAGTTTGAAAAAGGAAAAGGAAGATGCCTCCACTGAAGGAGTATTTTCCTTAAAAAAGAAATTAGGCTAATAAATATGTGTTTCCTGGGAAGGTTTTAAGATGGTTATTACCATACTTTTTTTCTGTAGATTGAATCACATTCTATTTTCTGCTGCCAAAGTACCATAAAGTGATTGTAAAACATTCTAAAAGGGTACCTCTGGTATAAGAAAATGCTTCAGTAATGTACAAATAGTTGTATACCACTGTCTCCTCTACTTAGCATTGAACCATCTTGGACAGGGCCATACAGGAGCAGAACAAGAATGTAACAACCCACTATTCACAACAAGCAAAATGGCCTCTGAGCAAATCCTGAAGTTGAAGTTTAAATATGCCAGTGTTTTCCCTAATTCATGCCAGACAGCAGTTAATGCTGTGTTAGGGTAATGTTGGCAGATCTTTCTTTCCCCACCCCCCACCAACAACAGCAACCCTGAATGCAATAAGCACAGAACTAGATGCTAGATACCCACTAATATTAGAGAGAACACAGGCCCATAATTTTGACTTCAGTTTTCCAAATTTTCCCATGTATTTTCTTCTGCTAGTCAGTTTTTGGTGGCTTTGACTGGAAAATACTGTAACGCCTTCTGAAAGAACACAAAGATTTCTTGACAATCAACAGTCATAACTGTATTTCGAGGCTTCTCTGTTTTAATGGCTTGTACCTGGTTGGGCTCATTGGGAATTTTGCAAGCTGATAAATACTTAATTCAGAAGCTGATTGCTTTGAGAGCAGTCTGACTGAAAACTTTAAATACATACCTTCCAAAGAATCTTTGTGTTTGATTGGGAAGGGTGTACTGTGCTTGCTTTTGACAAAGTGAGGAGATATAATATCTGTCAAGTGCTATAGGGCTAAATTGAAAATTTGGTTCGGATTGGTAGACGTGTATGATAGATATTGTTTTATTTCTTAATATTTTATTAAACTTCTCATACAGGTGACAGATGGAAACATCATATTTGGTATTGAACAGATTGAACACAGAGGCCAAAGAATTGAATAATGGACCAAAGATTGTTCTTTTCAGTCGGGAGTGAATCATATGGACAGAGTCTAGTTAGGTATACAGAGATGCATTGAGCTGTATATCTTCTGATAAATGGAAGATGTGGTTCTAAACACTTTAAATGTGGCGTGTCTTGTAAACTCTAAACTGTTGTTGTCCTAAAGATTTTATTAAAAATTCCGGTTGGTGAGGAAATTAAGGGGTGTGATTGGTAGCCAGATCCTTGGCAGATTCAAAGTGACAGCAGTCCATTGGAAGTCAGTAGAACTACAATGGCTGGTTCTGTCTGTGGCCCAGAATATTTCTAATGGCATTCATCTGATTAATCATTTTATGCCATTCATCAGACTTTTTGTGGTGGTGGTTGTTATTGCGGAGGAAGGGGAGGAATGGGAAATTATTTCCCTCCCATTAAATCCACAGTCATGAATTCAAAAACGTAATCAACAAAACAATCTTTCAGACCCTGTCTTTATCCATAGACTAGGAGTCAGTTGACTCTAAGCAACTTTATTTAGCTGAGCAGATTTGTAGGAGTTATTTATCACTGAAACCTTAGGGGAAATCATTATGTTCACTAGTGGGAGCTGAGATGCATTGGACATGCTGCAGTCTGGTTCGATGGAGATCGGCTGTTCTTTTCTTTTTTTCTTCTTTTCCAAAGCTGTTTGCTCTACACCTTTTATTCCAGTTGCAGACTATGAAAGATGTTCATGCTGTCAGACTCTAACTTGGAGATAACCTGGCTGAAAATAGTAGAAAATTAGGCATTTATAAGGCAGGAAGAATGTCTAATGAGGAAATTATCAAAATGAAGCCAATAATCTCCAGTCCTATGTTACCTTTTAAAATTGCATTTTTATTAAGAGTTTTAGCATACTGGATTGACTGTGCTCAGCTATATATACAGCACCACATATCAAGTAATTGGTAAGCAGTGTGTATAAGAGTGATCGTGTTCTCAGATTGTGAATTTAATCTGTGGTTGGAAGAAATGTCATATAAAATACATTGTCACAAATTTGGGAAATCTTCAAATAAGAAGACTTGTCTGCTATTATAGGGTCAAAAGGTTAAACAGTAACGATGCCTTAATGAAAGCTAGTCTGAATTTATTGATGATTAATTTGAATCTATTTTGAGTGTAACCATTGGAGAGAAGAGAAAGGGGGGGTTGTTTTGTTTTTGATCGGATGTTGAAGCTCTACAGATGTCAGACCGAATAAAAAATACATGATTATGTCACATTGCTTGTATTTACCTGCATAAAATGACGACATAGACCTTAGGGCAGCTTTAATTCACAACACAATAGTGCTAAAATGCTGTGATAAGAGTTTGTCATTTATCACTGTATAGCCTATCGACCTGGATAGCCTCAAATTTCTTAAACTGGCAATTGTAAATCATATGGAGCCCTCTAGTGGTAGTTACGTACATATTTATCATCATAGAAGTTTAAGGGACAGCAGAAAACCTGTGATGAATGTGCAGTTTGGGTTACTTTGTATGATGCAGCATAGCAGAGTGCAATCGATAATTCTACCTTTAAGTATAAGCCATCATCAGCTACACATTTTATCAAGTTTTAAAGACTCAATGATACACGTTTTTACATAGTGATTTATTGAGTCCTACTGAAAATGCATATCAGGTGCAATTGATATTATATTAAACTATTTTTGTTCTTATTCTTTTATTAGGTGTACATTCCAAGCAGAGTGGCTATTGTACTTCAGAACCTGGATATACCAAACTAAAGATCTCCATGGGCATCACTACAGAAGCAAGATGTTTAAAATAATGTAGTGACTACACTGTGCTGCTCAAACACTGAATATCTCAGAAATTTGTACAATGGATGCTTTGTGGAATTAAATATAGTAATATTAAAGTGATACAAATGTAGGATTAATATTTACATATAATTACAGAGCTCTCAAGCACTAAAAGCTATTTTAAGGAGACTGTATGCAAAAGACAGAAAAATTCATCTTCGTAGTTCTGATAGTACAGAATTACAGTTTAAAGCATTCTAGACCAGCTGGCATTCTCAATTGAGCTGTCGTTAATGGTGTTTTTTTCAGGAATAATGTTTTATCATGTGTATTACTGCTCTGATTTCAGCAATTTCTTTTAATCCTTCATCATTTTGGTATTGAATTCGGATATTGGTTATACACCACAATCTCTTGTAAGGACAAAGAGTAAACAATATGTTAAAATACAGCTTCAGCTTGGAGAAAATGCAGCCATAAATGTTTGAGACACCCCATGTTGTGATCTCCATTCCGCAGGGATTTCCAAGATGTATTACAGGTATCACTTTTTTTTTCAGTCAAACCACTGATGAGAACAATCCAGTGAAAATAGCATACATTGCCATTTTTATTTCATGAAAATTTCACAATGAGATCTTTGGAGACAGGCTGAGACTACAGTGACCTGAGTTTCTGTTTATAGCTCCACCAGTAATCTGTTGCATGGTTTGGCAAGTTGCTTCACCCCTGTGCTTCCATCTTAGCATCTGAATAATGGGAATATTGCCAACTTTTATAAACCATTTTAAGATCTACAAATGAAAAGCCCTGTGTAGAAACTTAGTAGTAGTCATAGTGTGTGTACACACACGCGCATGTGTGCGTGCGCGCGCGCGCGCGCACACACACACACACACACACACACACACACACACACACACACACACACACACACACACGAGAGAGAGAGAAACAGAAAGAACAGCTTTCCTTTACATATATTTGCATAAACCTGAGGATTCTATAACCACTAATTTTAGTGTTTCCAAAAGCTGCCATTGAACTTTCAAAAGTAAAGAGTCAATTGGACAGGCTAATATCACATGATGGGAAACGCACAGTCTTTTGATAGTCCTTTGATGCACAGTCTTTTGATGATTTCACTTTAAAAAGAGTTCATGAAGATCACACAACTCGTCTAATTGTACTCTTTGTAATAGATGAATTAGACAGTGCCCTATGCAATAGTGCTATTTAGTGGTACAATTCTTTTTTCCCCTTCATTGCCACTTCATTTGTTATTCAGTAACAGACTCTTAAAATATATACTGCTGCTTTCAAACAATATACTGAAGAGTTGCACCCACTGAAACAAAATATTGTTTTTAAAATTGTAAGCTCTGTAGTGAAGTAAAAAGCAATGTAATTATATGCTGTATTTTCATTATATTGATCAGCTAATATGTTCTGTAGATATTATGGGCTGAAGTTCCATGGTTCAAAAATATAATGCAAAGCAATTGCCCTTATCAAACTTTTTTGCAAGAGAAGCAATAAACGTGTGATGTGAAGTAGAAACTGTAATAATACATTAAAATAAACTATGGGAAAGATAAAACAAATGCACATGTGGTTTTATCACTCCTGTAAAAAAAATAAAAAATAAGTGTAACAGTCTAATACTAGATATTATTTGTCAGTCTGAAATCGGATTTTACTATAGGAGTCACAAAAAAAAATCAGAAGTAGTTTGTTCCAATTATTTAATAAATATTTTTTTAAAAATATATAGAAGATTACATTAAAAAAAACATTACTAAGAGTAAAGTTGCATAGTTAGGTTGCTTTTACAGTGTTGGCTGCCTTGTGCTTGACTTTACAACCTTAGTCTCTTAACATTTTTTATCTCGTGTGATTTCTCTGTTCAATTTCAGTCGTAATAGTAATGTGACTGAAATTGAACAGTGCATTCCATGAGTGTATACTTCCCTCTGTTCCTATATCTCATCCGCCACAACTTGGTGTTACTGAAATAACTGTCAGGAGGTGGTACCCAGTGATCCAAGGTTCATGGAGATGTTGTGGGTTCCAATAACTGCATGTCTTCTGTGGATCTTCACCTCCTCTACACCCCACCCCTTTCCATATAGGTGTTGTTGGTGTCTGGTGTGGGCACCTGGTCTCATTAGGCTTGGCTTCTTAGGCAGATGGATCCACAAATGAAGAGAAATAAATACACAACTGTAACTCAGATAATGCTGTTCATGCCTGCTTCTGGCCTCTTGTCCCTGCAGCATATGTCAGTTGCTTCAAACAAGGTGATTGGGGCTCTTCAGGGTTTACCCACTTTCTGTGAGACAAGTCTAAGTGGGCTGGCCCTTTCGACACTCAGGAGCCACTGGTACCATGAACCCCGATGTGTTCCCTGTGTGTACCTGACCTTCGTTGGCTGAGGGATAGTCAGGGCTCCTCATGGAGAATTGATGGCTCTGTGGTCCTTGATCTGGATCCTGGGTTCTGGTGGGGAGATGTTGTGTAGCCAAGTTTCTGTGTCAGTGTTCCCCCATCATCTGAGGCTGTCACTCTTTTATACCAGAAATTCTGGGTTGAACTAAGCCTACCTGGACCCCTGCTTGGCACACGTGCCCTGCAATTGCTGCCAAGTGTTCAGAGCCTCAGAGGGACTCAGCTCCTGCAGCTGCAATTCCTGGGCCCTAGAAGGTGTTGTCTACTCTCACCACTTGTCTGCTTGGCTGACTGAGCTCAGTTTTTGTGTGAAGCCCCAGCTGTCATTCTCACTGTGGACAGGAAAGGTCCAGCTGTGAGCCCATCGCCTGCAGAGCACACCATCAGTCGTTGCCCTGGCGAGTATGGGGCTTGGCTAGGTCACTGCTACATTAATCTCTAGTGAATCTACACAAACTAAGGTTTTCAAAGGCATTTAAATTGTCATGATACTAAGGCAGTATCACAGATTCTAAAACATTCTGAAACAAAATGGTTGTAACAAGTTTGGTTACCAAAACAAAATGTACTACGTTGCTGTGGTACGTAGTTCAGGCTCACCTGCCTGCTTAGGATCCCTGACAGTACTGGGTCTAGGTGGGTCTTCCTGCTCAGAGTTCATGACAGTGCGGGGTATTGAGAGGGGAAAGGATATGAAAAACCTGGATGAAGCACATATTTTATGCCAAACTAGGCTTTATATCCTTTGCTGCTCCCATTATTTTCCTAGGAATGATAAGGGCAATAACTATAATATTTACTCGATTCCAAGACTAATTTTTATTTCCCACATTTAACATGGGTGGGGTGAGCCTCTTGTTTGGGAACTGAGTATGAGTATGAGGTTGGGCAGCTGCTGCAGCTCCAGATCCTGCCCCAACTCTACTGCTGTGGGGCCATGCTCTGACCCCCAGTGTCAGAGCAATGCTAAGGGTAGGGGAGAAAGGCGGGGAGAAGCAGCCGTGGGGTGGGAGAGGGCTGCAGGGGTGGAAGTGTCATGTGGGGGAGGGGGAGGAAGAGTGGAGAGACATGGATGGGCAGGGGCCAAAGGTTACAGGGGGGCAGAGATGAGAGGCTGTAAGTTGGGCTGGGGGCTCCAACACCTCCCCCAACTGCTTCCCCCTTCATGCCCTACTGTGTGCATCCCTTACTGTCTCCTCATCCTAAAACAAGCAGTAGTTAAAATTTTGAAAATTGAATAGTCTTCCTTGGGTTTCAGAATTAAGAATGAATTGGAAGTTAGTAGCTTTCATAACTTTCTTAGAGGGCTAGGAAACCCAGGTAAACAACACTGCATCTCCTTTGCAATTAGGTCATATTTTCAAAGGGTTTTTTTAACATTATTTTGTTTTTGTAAAATCCTCTTTGATTGAAATCCCTTTTCATGTCAGCAAACAGTTATCTAGATGAATTTTCAAGTAAAGTGTTTTTATTTTTTTAGAATACATGCATTATATGTAATAGAAGAACAAAGATTGTGTCTGTTGAAGGCAGCCTACATTCATTTCATCCCTGCTTTGTTTCAGACCCTTAACCAAGGTGTTCCGGGTCTTTCAGTCTCTTAGGATCATGGCTAAGATATTCTAATGTATTTGTCCATTTTACTGCAATTGAATTCACTGGAAGTAAACAGACCGGGTGGAAGATCAGGGTTCTTGTTTCATCTCAACTATGTGAATTCTTTGCCCTGAGAGACGAGTGTTCTTCCTAGTTCGTCTGGAAAACTCAATAGAAAACCAGTATTGCAACCAAAAGGGAAACTGACCCAAGAAAGATCTGAGGTGTGGACGACTGGATGCCAGGATATCTTATAAGCCAGTAACTGTCAACTTTTCATCTTTCACATTAGAATTAATCCATCATTCACAATATGGAAGAAATTCAATTTCAGTACAATGTGGTTTTTTTTAACACTGAAAAACTGCAAAGTTCTTGCAGTGGTTTTATCTTTACCTAGGTTCTTAAATACCCATCACAATATTACCCAAGAGCTTCCCAAGTATTTAAAAATGAGAGGGAGAAAAAAATCATCCAGATACTAAGAATACATTGATCGATCCAATAATGGGTTGAAAGCTTGAGTGTATGAGAAAGTATATGAACAGAACACTTCATGTCCCACAATACAAGTAACAAGTTTGTTTGCTTGTTTTTCAGTTTTGTCCCTGGTAAGGTCTCTCTGCCGCTTCTTATCTCTTCCTGTTCTATGGTGAAGATTCAGACAGCTGGAAAAGTTGATTTGAGCATGTAGGAGTCTTCTAATTGATTGATATTTCCATAGATCCCACAGGATATAGCTACCGCAAGAGGCAAATAGATGTAGTGAGATGGCCAATCCCTTGCATACCTAGAGCCACATGGAAAGCTCTGAAAGCAATCTCAACTCATTCCTTGGTGACCTACCCTGAAAACCAGTGCAATGCAGTAACATACTCATGGAAACTAGCATTGCTTTACCTACATTGGTTCCTGAATTGGTATCAGTTGAAGGTTTTTTATATACCTTTTGAATCATTTTTTATATAGAGACCTGCTTCCTAGGACAACGTATACATTTTTGGTCTGAGCATGGTCTTCTTCTGTTTAGCATTTTATTAATGCTCTTGAGACAAGGGCTATATCTTCAGGCAGGTCAGTTATCACTTGGATATCAATATGGAGCCCAGTGTGCTCATGTCAAGTTAAACCAGTGCCTTCTAAAGCTGAAAATCAGGGTAGATATGAACCAGATATAAATAGGAACAGCAGGCCTGGAGCAGCCCATGCTTTCTGGAGACCAGGAGTACCCCAGTCATAGGTTAGGACCCAGGAAGAGCGAGCAGTTGCAAACTAAATGTCAGAACTGCTTCCTCTCCCAGAATCATTTCTAGCAGTGGAAATTTGCCGTCACCAGAAATGAACATTTGTATGCAGCTCTTGCCTAGTTACCTTGTCTTTTCTCCACTTCATATTTCACATCAAGATAACTACAGTATGCTAATTATCTTCCTAAAGGGAGGGAAGAACACTGTTATGTTAGACACAGCTCCACATTTTGTCCTTGTGTCCTATAGCTCCTTGCCAAATCCATTTTATTAGTCCTGGCCTTGCTAGCATATGATTATAGC